TCCCCACTATTTGGTCAGATGACAACTTGAGTACTGAATCCCAGCACTATGTGGAAGAAAACTCCTCTAAATATACTTTTTTTTTTTGCCAGTGCTTTCACAAATAGCCAGCTCCAACACTTGTCAAGTTTTGGCACTTGAAGGCAGGCCTTTCTGAACTGATGCAGTTTCAGCATCCAAAGTTTTAGGTAAGACAGCCATACAGCCCGACCACTTGGCAAAAACTGGCTTTGGTGCTAGGGTCATGAATGCATCACGTGAATTCAGTGTCAGGGAAATCAGGTGGTTTCAGGGAATGACATAATTTTTCTTTTAATTTCCTCCTTTATTAACTTGGCAAGTATAATCTTGGACTAATGAGCTGTAAAACACTGAATATTACAGATCTTAAAGCAGTGCAATTAGAACTCTAATTTTGCCCTTTAAAGCCATGAGAGAGAAAACATGTCATTTGTTTTATTGTGCCCTTTAACAGCCGTACCGAAGGGACACCCAAAACAGTGGAGAGCTGCATTGGCAAAGTTAACTGATATACAATGAGGTGCAGGATTCGGTTCAATTCATTAAACTCCATTCTGCTTTCCCCTGCAAACACCCCCAAGAGAAGGAACAACATAAATCTCTTCTGCAGCATTATCAACAAATTTGTATAAAGTTCCCCATTTTAGCAGCAAGGCATATAGTCTCCAAACTGGAAACCAGACCAAAAATTGCATGTCTACTATTATCTGGAAAACTTGAAAGTATTGTAAGAAATTAATGCAAAAAGCTTAAGTTGCATGCAATATTTTAGATTATTACCAATTTTATTATTTTTAACATCAGTTACTGTTACTGACGCAATACTTCAAGTATGCATAAAGTATCGGTATCAGAAAGGTACACCATCAGGTTCTGAAATTGTTTCAAATAATTGGGGGGGGTGGGGGGAGTGGTGTGTCAGATTTTTTCAAAGGAAACATTCTGATGGTTTTCTCCATAAAATTAATCAATTACAAATCTGAAGCAAGTTCAGTATTCTGGTAAATACACATAATCCTAAGGATATTAACTAACAAAGTGCATATATGCGAATATTAGCTCAGTAGCTGTCTGGGACGTAAGTAAGGAACCATTCCAGAGAGCAATGCAGACACCTCGCCACACCCTTTTATTGCAAGAACCAGTGCAGCAAAAGTGTTGAAAACAAGCTCAACAAACCCTGTCTGACACACAAATATCCCGGGATTGCCCTCCTCAGCGCATCCAGGAACACAGCAGAGGTTTAATTTATTTTGCTTTCTGCAGAGCCAACGTGTACCTAGCAGGATTGATCTGTTCAGATTTCATGCCTTGCGAAAGTATTCGCACCAGCTGGGAAATGCGAGCTATCACTGGAAGCAGTAAAGCTACGTCCATGCAATCTTGTATCCAAATAACAAGCTGGTATAATACGCTATCTGAAATCTTACAGTCCAACTTAAAATAACTAAGAATTGATTACTGTATCTTTACAAGACAGTAATCAAGAGCTCCGATGCACTAAAGGCAGAGTAAATCTATTGCAACAACAGAAAACAAGTTTACATAATAAAAGGTCTGACCTTTTAAACGATTAAGCGCATTACTAAATCATCCTCGTGTGAGGAGCTCAATTGCAGATAACACTATGAGTCATGTAAACTTGGTGTTTGGAAAACTTGTCTAAAGTAGGGTTGGAAGAGCTCAATTGCTTAACTCTTTCCATTGAAGACTATAAAAATGCCTTACTTTTGAGAAACCAATAGACCTCTGACACTCAGGAGAGAGAAACACACATACATCAAAAAAATGCCTCAAAAAATACATTAAAATTTAAAACAAAGAAACACAAGGAGCAAGTTATCTGTACAATATTTCTTATGTAGCCTCCACCTACTCAAATATGTTTTTCTTCTTTATGTATGACTATAAAGAACAGAAGTTCTTCAGGTTCTTTTTTAGGGCATTCATACACCAATTCATTATTCTGAAAACACCTCCCCAAAATAACATTTTATTTTCCTCATTTTATCATATAGGCAAGTCATATCAGTTTGATCAATACTGACTGCAACCCTGGTTCTCTCTTGCCCCAGAAACAATGTTTTACTGCCAGAATGTGCTGAGTTTTGATCCTTCACCACTTACAATTTCAGTTACGGGCTGCCCAGGGAAGGAAGTGGTTGAGTCCCCATCCCTGGAGGTATTTAAAAGCCGGGCAGATGAGGTGCTTAGGGACATGGTTTAGTGGTGGACTTGGCAGTGCTAGGTTAACGGTTGACTTTATGATCTTAACGGTCTTTTCCAACCTAAACGATTCTATGATTCTACTGTTGTGAGGAATAAGCAGATCTAAAAAGCAAGGTAAGCAGGGAAACTTTGACAACTCTGAAATAAAAATTTAAAACCGAAAGCAACCACCAGTACAGAGTTCAGTATTTTGCCATGATAAGCAATCTCATAATAGAAATGTATCACAAAGGACAGAAAAAAAAATGTCTGGTACCTACTAACCACTAGCATAGCTCTTCCTGTTCCCCAATTTGAAATCTTTGGTGCAAACAATAAACCCATGAGGAAAAAATTACTGTGGCATGTAAGAGATGTAGATTAAATAAATAAATACATAAACAGATAGATAAAATCAAGAGCATGGGTGAAAGAGCCTAGATGCTCCCAGGAAAGGATCACACAATGCACTACAAAGTTAAAAACCCCTTAGGGTTATGAGCCTGATCCAGGAGAAACTTCAGTAAATGGGACCTACAAAACAACAATCTAATTAGCATGCACATTTGCATGAGATGCAACATTTCTGCAGTGCAGCCATTTGTCCCAAAATAAGACTCCACTTCCTCATACGGAAAGAAGCAAAGCCTGCTCATTTGGCAGACCCAGTGTGGGGTCTGCAATTAAACTTTATTCACACTATGGAAAACACTGACATCTGGTTTATGCAAGATCTTATTCCTCCTGAAGATAGTCCCGTCTTTCATGAAGTAACAGAAGTCACCTCATCACAACTCCTTGCCATAAAGGCAGCATGCAATTTCTGGCCAAGCAGACCACTGTAAAAGCCTACAGAGACTTGTAGCACAAATATTGTTGTTGCTATGAATGAAATAAATTGAAACGTGTGAAATCACTAGAAAATAAATGACAGAACAAGGGTTAAAAGAATGACCTGTAGTGATAATGAGTAATTCTGTTAGGAGCAGTGTCCTGGGAAAAGTAAAATTGAGGAATGGGTTGTTTACATCAGGACCAGGCAGCCTGCCCTCTGTAAGATCACAGCACAGTGACTCAGCAGCAGAAGATCCTGCCTTCCAAACATCAGGAGGATGGAAAGTTGGGAGCATATCACATATGGCATTCCTTTTCCTGTATGACCAACAGGAAAGCAGACATGTATTTTTAAGAAGAAAAAAAAAAACAAACAGATAACAAGCATGAACTTCACTTAAGATTTAGGGAGACTTCGGACTCTTTCTTGCATCAAAGGACCATTTATAGGTAAAGCTGAATACCATAAAAGATCTGTCCAAAGAGTAGTTCATCATCACCAGTGAAAAACCCTCAGAGACTCGATGAGGATCTGGTAGCCAGCATCTCTTGCACTGCACAAGAGGTCCTGGCCAGATCAAATATGCAAACAGCTCGGTGCTTTTAAGTATTATCAGTATGACAGCGTTGAGTGAATAAAATTTATGAGAGAATGCATGGAAGTGGGTAAAATCAGCATCACTTTCCCCTTCCATAAGATCCTACACTGAATTTTGTTACACTAAGTCTTCTACAAGACATCCTCCAAATCTTTAAAAAATGGGATTAGACCTGCAATGAAGAAACAGTTCAAAACAGAGTGCAATTCCACCGATACTTTTACAAAAATACTTTTTGTAAAGCTTGAATAAGGGACAGGAGAGAGTACACAGTACAAAACCAAACAAAAATTCCTCATTAAACTCTGAATTATTTTCAATTTTTTAATACATAATTGAATGTTCAGCATAAATTAAGTCAGCAAAATTAATTTTTCTGCTTTTCCAACTGTATGTTTAATTCACAGTAGTAAAGATCTCAGCAAAGCATACCAGTATTGTCTTATTTCTAGAAATTAACTGTTGCTTAGCTAGAAGTTAACCAGAATTTCTGTTTTGAAGACCATTGCCATCATTCTCCTAAGTACAAGATGCATCCTCTCAAAAAGACAGCCATAGGCCCAAGGAAAACAATAACTCCTAGACGCTTACTAAATCATGGAGAGCCAAGAAAAAAAAAATTAATCATCACACCTTATTTATATCTTAGGAAAGAAGCACATCTCAAAAATCAGCAAATTTTTCAGCTTTTTAAAAGCAATTTAACTGAATAAGCCAACTGGCATACTAATGTCAACAGGCTACGATGACTTGAAATTGTCAAAATAATAAAATAGAAAGAGACATCAACATGTCAACGTGCAAACATGAATCAAAAGATGCAGTATCAGGCAACACTAACTATGTATCTCCAAAAGAGATCTTTTTCCTCTCCCCTACAATTTTTTTTTTTCTAATTAACTTCTAAAAAGCCCTAGCCTAACTCTTTCAGGTATGGATTAGACAGTTCCTTGTTACTGACAGAAAATAAGTTTCAATTCTTACTTTCTATTTAAATACAAGGATTCATTTATGTGCTATAGAAACAACATTCTCCCATATATTAATTAACATTCTACTGAGAACAGACATTTTTCTTTCCTTTTTTTCCATAACACAAGTAGCCAAGGGAGTGAGGAGTTTTCAACACAGACCAAAAGCTATACCACTTCATTAGATACAGTCACTAAATACTTATTTACTTCTGGAATAAAAGTTTCAAGCTACTCACTCTCATACAATGCTAACCAGTAAAGCAGCAGTATTTGAAATTTATTATACTTTACACATAAAACACAGTAAGGCAACTTTTTTTTTTTTTTTTTTTAAAGCCACCATAAAAACAAATAGAAAGCTTACCTTCTTCTGGTACCAAACTATAGCATCAGTTACTTTGGACGCCATTTATTCCACTGAATTCACACAGTCATTTTAGGCTGTTAACAGAAAAAGACAGAACTTTACTTCCACCTTCCCTACGAAGGCCAACATAGGGAATGTAGAAACACTCCCGTTACCTGCAAAGTGCTGAACAGCTGTATTCACTTTACACCTTGCCTCATTCCTGTGTCAGAGGAGAAAACCCAAACTCCTACTAAGTAAACAAAAAACTACCGATGTCCTGCTACAGGACATCAGAAGCCTCAGTTTTGTCCATCCTTCCCAGTAAAACACGGGTGATGCAGAGACGATCTGTTATTGTCTCACAAGAGCCTCCCAAGAGTTACATTACATGCAGTGGGCTTTTTTTCTGATAAATTAAGTAGCCTATAGTTATTACCACAGCACAGTATATCTGAATATTCTGAGTATTCTGAATTACAGGAATAACTATGTTATAAAATGCAAGAAAATGTCATACAGACTATATTTTTGGAGAAAAAAAAATCAGTGCTAGAACTCTACTAATAAAATTAATACACTCATGAAAACAGTAGACTAAAACTAAGTCAAAAGAAGAAAAACAAGGAAGAGTGATGTGCTTGTTTTAATGGTAGAAAATAGCAGCAGTATTAGGTAATATTTGATGTCACTGTCATTAGTTTCAATGGGGAAAAAAAAAAAAAAACCAAAAACTTTCAGCCTACATAAAACATTCCTACCTTGAAAATTAATTTAAAAATTTTTCTTTCATGTAATCAGTCAGCCAGAGTTAGCTCAGAAAAAAAAAAAAAGAATAAAGAAAATAAACATAAAAAGCCTTCAGATTTATAATCATTGTCTGTCTACAAACTTGCATATATTCTCTCGTACTGGACATTCTGTAAAATCAAAGGAAACTTTAGGTGAGAACTACAGAATCCTTTCCAGATATTTTATTATAATATGCAAGTTCTTTCAGATATGAATGTATTACCATTAAATCCAAACTCAAATATTTCATATATAGATTACTTCAGATATTAGCAAATTACTAACAGTTAAATTAGTTTAGTACCTACATTTCAAACTGTTAAGGCAGGAAGCAGCCAGTGGAAGAAAGAAGGAATAAAAAAACCTGTTAAAATATTTGCCAAAAAATCTGAATATTTTTGTCTTTAATAATTTTTCATCCCACTGATTCCCTTTAAAAATATATGTATGTAAATAAATACACCATACTCGAGCCCAGTTAAAATTCAATGGGGCACACTATACTACATGTGACCTTCTAACATTAGCTGGTAAAAGCTTAAGTTTTCAGGTCCACCTAATATTCAGCATCCTTCCTACATTTACAAAAAGTTTAAGAACACTATTTTTATATAACTGCACCAAGTATTTAACACGCAAGGGAATTCCTATTATATTTTGTAAAGCTAAAGCTACAAATTTCTAACAAATTATGCAAAAGGCTTTGAAAAATTATAAGTAACTTCAAAATATTAAACAAGTTTCCCAAACGTACTACCTGAACGATTTGAGGATCAAGCATAACTGGTAAAAATCAACACAAGAAGACCTCTTAAAAAAAACTTCACAAATGGTTTCACGGAATGGTTGAGGTTGGCATGGACCTCTGGAGGTCATCTGGTCCAAGCCCCTGCTCAAGCAGAACCACCTGGAGCAGGCTGCCCAGCATCATGCCAAGATGGCTTTTGAATATTCCAAAGGAGAGAGAATCCACAGCCTCTCTGGGCAACCTGTGCCAGTGCTTGGTCACCCTTACAGTGCAAAAGTGTTTACTGATGTTCAGAGGGAACGTCCTGAGTTTCACTTTGTGCCTGTTGCCTCTGGTCCTGTCCCTGGGCACCACTGGAAAGAGCCTGGGTCTGTCCCCTTTGCACCCTCCCTTCAGGTATTCATATTCATTGCTGTCCTGGTTTCGGCTGGGATAGAGTTAATTTTCTTCACAGTAGCTAGCATAGTGCTGTGTTTTGGATTTAGTACCAGAAGAATGTTGATAACACACTGATGTTTTCAGCTGTTGCCAAGTAGTGCTCAGACTACTCAAGGACTTTTTGAGCTTCTCCTGCTTGCCCAGGTGCATAACAAGCTGGGAGTACAGCACAGCTAGCACAGCTAACCCAAACTGACCAAAGAGCTATTCCAGACCATATAACGTCATGCTCGGGGGGGCTCAGGCGGTCGGGTGAGTTGCGGGGAGAGTGATCGCTGCTCGGGGACTGATCACGGCTCAGGACGGGCTGGGCATCGGTCGGTGGGTGGTGAGCAACTGCATTGTGCATCATTCGTTTTGTATATTCTGTATATTCTGTTATCATTCTCATTATTACTATTATTATTATTTTCTCTTATTAAACTGTCTTTATCTCAGCCCTCGGCTCTACCCTTTTTTTTTCTTCCCGATTCTCTCCCCCATCCCACTGAGGGAGGGGGGAGTGAGCGAGCAGCTGCGTGGTGCTGAGTTGCCAGCCGGGTTAAACCATGACAATTGCTAAGATCCCCCTAAAAGCCTCCTCTTCTCGCAGCTCCCTCAGCCTTCCCTCACAGGAGGGATGCTCCAGTCCCTTCACCATCTCCGTGGCCCTTCCCTGGACTCTCTCCGCTATGTCCGTGTCTCTCTTGTACTGGGGAGTCCAGAACCTCAGGCATGGCCTCACCAGTGGCAAGGAGGACAAGTGGTAGTTTAGCCCCCAAACATCAAAATACGCATGAAGCATTCTTCCAAGATCGATCTCTCTCAATAAAGAAACATGATTAAGGTGTATATTTCTGGTAAAAATACCACACTTATCATAACAGTCAATATCAACAACAACACTGCACCTTATACTTCTTCATTAAAAGAAAACAAGAATTATTAATCTGTAGGCAGTTTTTATAGTGAAAGATTAAAGATGATCTTTGTCTTTAAAACAAAGAGAAAGAGAAAGAGAAGACATTTGTTTACAACATTTGCACAGATAAGAAAGGCAAAGAAAAATACAATGTCCAACAGATGGGATGGAAACTGAAACTGTGCAACAGACTGAAGTACCAGTGTCTTTATGAAATGCCTAAGCATTAGAATAACTCATGACACTTTATTATACATTGCTCACCACCAAAAATTTCAGTTGTTTTTTTTTTTTTTAAAAGCAGAGATTAGATTACCTGATCATACCATCTGTTTATATGAAAACGACAAACAGTCCCTCTACAAAGGCGCTATCAACACCACCATCTTCCAAGACACTTCTCAGAAAGAAAAGGTGACCCTCCAAAAGACACAGTTTGGCACTGACACCCATTTATTCAGTCTTCCCCAACTCGCCTATGGATGTACTTGTATTTTACGCAGTGCATTACTTTAAAGACACTGTATTTAGTAAGTTTGGATACGCATCGTATACACTGAAGTACAAACCCTTCAACAAGTAAGATTGATTTTATACCAGCTCCTGAGGATTTCTAAGAAACGTAATGCCATACATTTTCGCATTTCACAAAGCTTTATTGAAAAGAGAGAAATCAAATACCCAAAAGGAACTATATTTAAGATTTCTAACAGTGTGACTCCAATACTCTTTATACAACTTCAGATAAAATTACAGCAGGATACAAAGAAATGTCTCTGGGAGAGTTTAGACAGTTCTTAACAAATTTCAGAAGTATCAGGACACTGACTTGTGGTGCGACTGAGCAAAGGAACACAGCAATTTTTCCACTGTTGATAATATCATCGTGTAAGTCACATCAAATCAGTTAAAGCTGGCAGCCACGACTGTGTCAACATGTGTAATTGTTTCTGACCTATTTGTTTCTGATAATAGTAGCAGTTTTTCTAAGGGCAACTATCAGTTATTAAGAATTCATTGGCACAATAAATACAAAAATATTTCTATCACATAAAGCATGGAGCCCAACAGAGACTTTGATATAATTTGGCATATTACACAGACTGGTTACCCTTCTTTCTCACCCATACAAAGCTTAAAATAGGATTTGCTTTCTTGTTTGAAGACCTGTTTAAACAAACCCAAATTTAAAAGCATTTGCTACACTGGGCTACAGACTCAAAGCAACACAAAGCCCTTAGCCCTACACAGCCTCCACACGTAACTGACCTACACCGCACAGCCACAGCCAAAGCAGTTCCACTGCTCGCGGAGGTGCCGAGGGAGGAAGGATGCCAGGCAGATTTTGGTCGTGCTCGCACCCTTTGCCTTCCCCTCCTTTGTGAACTCATCTTGGAGGATCTTTAACTCCTTCTCATTTCTCTTAAGCCGACATCCCCTCTCACACAAAATATACCCTGCTTCCTACCACCATAATTACAGGATGAGAAAAAGGTTGGAGAAACACATTATTGGCAGTAAAGAACGAACTGTTGAACCTGCACAGAAACCTTTCCCTCAACAGCCACATCAGCTTGATCTCGATCTCTCTCTCTCCAAGGTCAATGATTTTTCAGGAAACCAAGGCTAACTTATCGACCCAAGACTTCCAGCTGTATCAAATATGGCTCAAATTGGACAAGCCATTTTAAAGGCAGCAGCCATTTTTGCAGTAGCTCTCCAATTCCTCAAAACCCCTTTGCTTCGAGAAGCAATTACACCACAGAACTAAAAACCAAGTATAAGGAAGTAGTTTTATTATTAATTTATTTTATTTCTATCAACAAATCTGTTACTTAGATTACCCATGGTTTCTGTATTTTTAAGAAACTCTCTACATTAAATCCTCCATAGTCTATTTTGGTGGTGTTTAAAGCATATTTGCATACATAAATGCAATGATGATGCTTACAAATGTAAATATGAAAAAATTATGGGATGGATGTCTCAAAAGACTTTAACAGAGTTTGATGTGCTAAGTAAAAATACTTCTATGAGGAAATACCACATGCTTTCTTCAAGAGATAGACAACAATTTCTAGAGGCAGGACTGAAATGAAAGGTGAAAGGTTCGTTTAATTATTTCTGAACACCTTTTCTGCTTGCAGGAGCTGGGATTTGTTTGTGGTTTTAGTTTGGGGTTTGTTTGAGACAGTATAATGAGTTTGATACACTTGGCCT